TTATCTCAAGCAGAAACAATTTCGATCTCAGTTACTACTACAGCAAGCAATGATCAACCAGTGTCATTTACTACCACTGATATCATATCAACTAATCATATTTTAAAGAATATGATCGAAAATGTTGAATGTGAAAAAAATGATGAAAGTTTGCTGAAAACAATAAAATCAGCTAATTTTGATAATTTTGACATTATGCCACCACCACCATCAGCACCACCTATTACTAATTCTACAGGTGTAATATTTTTCAAGTTTTATTTTGCTTAAGAAATACTCATTTTTCTTTTCGTTTTTTTTTTTTTTTACTTTAACAAATATTGATAATCAAAGAGTATTAAATTGATATTAAATTTGAATATTTCATCAAGATCATCTTCAACTATAGAAGTATGATTATTGTAAATATGATTAGTAAAATGTTTAACGTATGATTATTATTACAGCATCAAAAAACTTTCCCACCGATACAATACACATTCGGCCGATAAAATCTGAAATAAATGGAAAAATAGAAGTGAACACACCAAGTACCATTATTTTGAAGCAAAATTCTAGAAATCGATCATTAACAGTTCGTAAACTTCTTGGTTTAAATGTTACAAATAAACGAAAATTAAAATGCAGTATGTTTTGTTTTATCTTTTTCTTTGAATTTTAAAATTAAAAAATTGAATTTTAATATAATATATGCCAAATAAAATTTACGATTGTTTTAATGTTTTGTTTATATTCGTTTCTTTCTTTTTTTTTCTCCAAGTCATCATTTTAAAAAATAAATGAATTCAATTACAGATTAATTTTATTTTAGAAAATGAATCGTTGTCAGCGGCAAAATATTTCGTTAAATCTAAATTTTCCAGAAAAATTGGAAAAACAAGGAAGAGTTTGATTTAAATAGCTCTTTTTTATTTGATATTTAATGTATTAAACGATGATTTTTGAAATTGCAGAAAAATTTTAGAATTCATCAGTGTGATTTTAATAGTTCTTTAATTATTCAGTATTAATTAAATGTAAATTTTAGTTTCATTAGCAACCATTGATCATCACTTGATAAACGGATTGTTGTAATTTCACATTTTAAAGGTTCATTTAAAATGTTATTAATACATTTTAACACATTATATTACTTTCAAGTTGCTGTGAAGAAATTTCTTTATTAAGAAAATTGGCCATTTTCGTTTTTTTTTTTCCTTTTTTTTTCAAAAATAAATTTCAGAGCATTTAGTGAAATAGTTGGGGAAGTAGAATTCATGAAGCATTTCGGTTCTGATTTTCCATATCCAGTTATTTATTTATTTGCTTTTTCAATTTTCTTTCAGTTTCCAGAAAATTCACAGTACACTCATCGCTTACACTTACGGTTTTCTATAATTTTGCCGTAGGCATAATCATTTTTATTTTGAAAGAGAGTTAGTCTGAGAAATTGGCTTCTGTTTTTTTCTATTATCAATAAATATTATGATTTATTTGTAAAATATTTTTCTGATTTTTTGTTGTATTTCATGTTATTAGTTTTATATTTCTATAGTTATTATCGTTTCTTTTTTATAATTTTGAAATTAACTAAGTGATTATTTCATGCATTCCGATGTTCTAGTCGAGTTAATTTTATATCATTTCCTGTGAAATATTAATTATTTACTGTTATTATTATATTTACTGATCATTAAAGAAGTTTTTGAAATTTCAAAGTTTGCTGGATTTCGCTTCGACATTTTTAATCTTCCAAAAAACGATGTGCTGTAAACTGATTGATAAAATTCGATTTTCCGCATACTTTTTTCAAAAACCAATTGAATTTTACATTAAAAAATTCCCTTTTTTAAAAATTTTTCCGCGATTATTAATTGTTACGGTGAGAAATGAAATATTTTTCGTTGGAATTTTGTTTTTTCCTTTCCACTTTGACAAATAAAGATAAAAAAGGATGAATTGATTCATTTGAAAAACATTTCCATTATTGTTATTTAATTAGGAAGAAAAAGTATTGTTAAAATATCCATAATTTCCATTTGGGTATTCCTATTTCGATATTTTCCATCTATATATAGAAGCAGGAAGTTTCAAACTTTCGAAACTTTTTATTTTCAATAAAATTTGAAAGACATCTATCGCAAATGTATCCATCACTGTTGACTTTGCTATACTGCACTTTATTATCAGCTTATTATGATAAGCTTTATCAAAGAAGAATTCACTTGTTTCATGGCTATCGATGACATTGACAATTTTTATTATGTTTCGGCAATGTTTTGAAATAGTTTCGGAGTTTTTTTGAAACTATTTCAAAATTTTATTTTAAATAGTTTTAGAAGAATCCATTCAAAATTCATTCAAAAAATTCATTTCAAAATTCACTCATGGAATAAAATCATCGTTTGGGAATTGTTTAATTTGAATTATTTTAATTCGAACATTTATATGCACTATAAAACATTACTAAATCATCAACAGGAATCTATCACGCTCGATTTTCCCGGGAATATATCAATGATAAACGAAACAATTGATTAATGGGATTTGATATATCCTCTATGCTTTTTATCACTTAATCATCGTATTTCCGTTACGGTAGAAATGAAACGTTAATTTATGTCGAAATAATTTCAATTTCATTTCATATTGTAGAAAAAAAAATTCGTAAGAAATATCTCATTTTAATAATTTAACTTTCTTATGCTGCAAATTATCATTTTAGAGGAACCTTTTTTTTTTTAAAAAATTTATTTATCTGCAAAATTTTTTCTTTTTGTTAGATGTCGGAATCACTCATTTCCTTTTTTCCACTCATTTTATTCCATTCTTCCATTTTTTTAGGCCTTCTGTTTCAAAGTTTTAAGACGTGACGAATCATTAATTTTTCATGACAAAAGTATCCGTGATATTTTCGAAATTGTAATTCAAAAAGTTGGAATGATAATCTAAGTGCAACATTGATAACGGTTTTTTTTACAAAAATCGTATCTGAATATGTCGTAAAAATCAAGTTTGAAATATTATTTTAATTGTAACAAACGCAGTTCTGATAATTTTACTGACAACGCTTCTCAACATCGACTTTTATAAATTCTTTGGTAATGATGCTACCGTAATATTCTGTTCAATTAATTATCTAAAATCTTAATTCTAATTTAATTCATTTTAAATTTTAATTCTTGCTAGTTTATTTCATATTTTGTTCTTGGATATACATTTATAATTATTATTGATACTGACTAATATGGTTAAAGTAATCATCTATGAAAACAAATTAATCAATTTCTGCATCATTCAATTTATGATTTATTATGATTCCATAAAAAAGAACAGTATAATATTGCTTGAATTAAAATTCTACAACTTTAATTAAGAGACATCTTTGATATAGTTATTAAAAGTTATTAATTCACTAGTAATAAAATTACTCAAATAAGCATTCATCAAATTTCATTTCCATTTTACAATAAATAACAAATAACCAATTCCTTATCAAATGACACTATTTGTACAATTGAATATTGTCATTTTATTTTTCATTGCATGTCACACTTTTTAGTTCATTTCATTTTTTTCGTTTTCATAATCAATGTTTTAACATGATAAATGAGCAATAAAACAAACAGAGATAAGCAATAAAGCACACATAAGCAATAAGCAACAATATGCACACACACACACACACACACACACACACA